CCCCCAAGGAGATCCTTGCAAGATCCTTCCCCAGCCCTCCCCCATGGGAGATCCTTGTAAGATCCTTTCCCAACCCCCATAGGAGATCCTTGTGAGATCTGTTCCCAACCCCACCCCCCATGGGAGATCCTTGTGAGATCGTTTCCCACCCCTCCTGTAGGAGATCCTCCCCCCCGCCCCCCATAGGAGATTCTTTCCCAATCCTCCCCCCAACAAGGGAGATGCTTGCAAGATCCTTTCCCAACCCCCCCACCCCTACGCCAATGGCAGTCAGACGCGGGCACTGTTGAGCCCCTGGCCAGCGTGGGGTGGGAGATGCCTGGGTCCCCACTGTGATGTATGGGGAGCAAGAGGAGTGCACACACAGCTGGGAGGCTGCAGGGAGTTTGCCCCGATTAGTCTTTCCCAAGCTTTTGGGTAGGAGCAGCCTTTCTGCCCCGGCAAAGCTGTACATCCTGGCTTTGTTACTTTGTTGAGAGTCTTCTGGGCTTCACAGCCAGAGTCACCCTACCAGACAGGCTGGTTACCCCAGGAGAAATCTTGGGGGCATGCCAGAGGTACATGGGGGTACTCCAGAGGTATGTGGGCATTGCCGCCTCTTTGTGGACCTGTGAAGGATGACAATAACACTCAAGGCTAATACCGGGTCACTGGTTGCCTCTGTAAGTGATTGTGCCTGGCCTGGTTTGAGGGAAGTCAAAACCTGGGGCAATCCCAGATTAAACTGGCTGCCTGATGTTCACCTGAAAGCCCCACTTCCCCTTCTGGTCTGCGTAGTCATGTCTGGTGCCTCCATTCTTTGGAGCAGGAAGTGGAGATATGGTCCAGAGATCATGCTGGAGTGAGGGAAGGCCCTATGCAGGACTCTGCAGGGACTAAAACCCTCTCCCTCCCATAGCAGATGGAAGTCCCATCTGCTTAGCCGCTTACCGTACACTTTCAGGCTGCGTGAGCCTAATGTATGTTGTCACTTGGACCTTGAAGTCAAGGCGGATCTGCCATCTTTTTGGGGGCAGGAGACATGTTCCACTGGTCACCTACAGGGATTGATGTACCTCGCGGTAGACTTTAGATTTCCTTTAAAGTATTCTGCTCCGTGTGGCTGTTGATGGGTAACAAAACTGGAGTGGTTGAGGGGGGAACAAGGTCCAGGCTTTGAAGAGTGGGGAGCTATACTGGGGGCAAAAAGCTGCTGGAATGGATGCAGCTGTGCTGCTACTCTGGCAGCTACTGGCTCTGGCTGTGTGGCATGGGGGAAGGAGCCAGGCAGTACAGGTTTGGGGAAACGAGCAAGGAATTAAGGCAGATGGATGCCCCCTCCTCTCCTCACTGAATTAGAGATTGCATATCTTTGCTCAGCATGTTGTTTGGTAATGTCTGTTGGGGGCAGGGGCAGGTGAGAGACTTAACTCCTTGACTGGGGGGCACCTTTCCCTGTAGCTGCCCAAACCGTATCTTTCGCCCCTTGGATCCACCCCCAGCCTCTTCGCCTTCTCCAGGCAGCTGATGTTTGCAGATGACAGGATCCTAGAGTGCCTTTGCCTCCACCATCTGCTTCTTGGACACCAGCCAGAGCTGCCTAGGGCACAAACCTTACCAGGTACATCTCTGGCCTCATCCCCTCACCCTGCCCAGGGTACTGAAAGAGCTTGGTATGTCTCTGCCCATTGCCGGATGGACAGTTTTGTAGTACAGTCTGTTAATCTTTCACGCTCAGTCATATATCTGTGCTGTAATACCCAACCATTCACTGGCATACAGAAGGTGAAACATACAGGTGGAAATTAGTGCTGTTGGCAGAAGTTGTCCTGAGAGTTGTGTTCATTGCAACATAAGTCCTAAGGTCCTTTGTTAGGCTTGCTATGAATGCAAAGAAAGAGGTCCCCCACCACCTCCACTGTCACTGCTTTTGACAAAAACATTTGGCAGAACTTTTCTGGTGTTTAATGGATTGGTTATTCCTAGTGCCTTTATTCTAAGACAGAATCAGTTTCTTCTCATTTTGGAGTTTGGGGAAGAACAAATCTATTTTGATTTTGGAAGTCTGGTGCTCTGTCAGGTTGCACATTTTGAGGTTGATTTTTAGAAGCCCCATGGTTTGTTTGTTTTTCTGGCCCTATGGAAGGGAGGGAGTTAGATGGATTTATAATTTCTCTATTTTTAACTTTAAAAACGTTTTGTTGATCAACACAAATAGAGTAGGGAAATCTTGGCTTGTTTTAAAACAAGTTAAAACGTTACTAAATACTAAAGCTCCACATTCTACATGGGGCTAGATCTTATTGAAAAAAGGTTGCTGGATAAAAAGGAGGAGTTAGATAACATGATTATAAGCGGCTAACAATTTTTTTGTAACACAAGCGGTCAATTCTGTTACTAGTTGCAACAGTATGGAGTGCTGTCCTAGCAATGACTTGTGTTTCTGTTCAGTTGGGCACCCTAAAAGTGAAAACACAGTTGCACAACTTTCAAGTACTAGTACTAGTTCTATGTTTATCAGGAAATGTAATTCAACTAGGTTTGACACTGGGGTCACAAACACTCCCCCCCACAAATGCCAGGAAATGAAAAATATAAAGATCCACCAATAGCGTTAAGTCCACCATTCTGCAAAAGGCATTGTTATAATGTGGACAAGGGAACATTGATTTTGGAGTCTGAACTCTTATTCTTATCTGCCTTTTTTGTGTTGGGATTTCCATTTTTAACTTTTGCTTACTGTTGGTGGTTTGGTTTTTATCTGTAACACTGACTTCACCTTTTTATCCAATAGGACTTTAATTCTCTCTCTTAAACTAGAATTTATTAAAATATGCTTTAATATAGCTGTGTATGTGTCTGAATTGATGACCTGAAATGATTATAAATGTTATGCATTCATTTGTGGAAAAAGGTACAGGAAACCTATACTCAGTTCTTTGCTCTTCCAAAGATTTCTTGGGTGAAGGAAGGCAAATCACTTTTTCTCTCTGAGTAGGATTTTCAGATTTTTAGGGTGTAATGGTTTTAGGCATCAGCCACCTTGGAAGCTTTTGAAGATCCTCTTTTCTATATTTATACCGGAGGTTCTGTGCGGTACCCAGAGCTCACTTTGGAGGAACTAGGACAGAGTTGATGGCAGAGCTGATGGTGGGGGGCTGGGGGACCCCAGGGGACAGTCCCCCAACCCTGCCCTGGGGTAAGTTTAAAGCTGTGCTACCACAGCATAACTTAGGTTGATGGTGGAACATCTTCTTCCACCAAAGCATCAGATGGAGTGGACCCAAGCTCTGCCTTTCCCTCATAATCATAGAGTCATCAAAAATTAGGGTTGGAAGGGACCTCAGGAGGTCATCTAGTCCAACCCCCTGCTCAAAGCAGGGCCATCCCCAACTAGATCATCCCAGCCAAGGCTTTGTCTAGCCAGGTCTTAAAAACCTCCAAGAATGGAGACTCTACCACCTCTCAGAGTAACCTGTTCCAGTGTTTTACTGCTCTCCTCCTGAGAAAGTTGTTCTGAATATGTAACATAAATTTCCCTTACTGCAACTTGAGACCATTGGTCCTTGTTCTTTCAGCACTGAAAACAGTCTAGCTCCATCTTCTTTGTAACCACCCTTCAGGTAGTATTAAATCCCCCCAATCTTCTTTTCTCCATACTGAAGCCAGTTCCCTCAGCTTCTCGTCAGAAGTCATGTTCCCCAGCCCTCTAACTATTTTTGTTGCCCTCCACTGACCTCTCTCTAAGGTGTCCACATTCTTTCTGTAGTGGGGGCCTCGAACTGGGCACAGTACTCCAGATGCTGCTTCACCAGTAGAATAGTCAGTTCTCTCGATCTGTTGGCAACACTCCTATTAGCCCAGCCCTGTATGCTGTTAGCCCTCTTGGCAACAGGGGCACACTGTTGGCTCATATTCAGCTTATTGTTCACTGTAACCCCCAGGGCCTTTTCTGCAGAGCTGCTACTTAGCCAGTCAGTCCCCAGTCTGTATCAGTGCATGGGATTGTTGTAATGAATTAAGCAAATAAAATAATCCAATCCAGTGATGCTTTCTGTTCTCTCTCTGTGCTGGCTTATCTGTTTAGACTGTAAACTTTTCAAGGCAGGAACTGTCCCTAGCAAAGTGTGCCTAGCATATGTGATGCTTAGCAGGATGCAGCTTTGATCTTGGCCTGCAGGCAGCATGGTGGTGTAGCTATGTATTAACAACAGCAGGATTTGAATATGATATACTGTATTCATCATTCAGTCATGATTTATTTTGATTATGCAGGTTACCCTTTTCCTACTGCTCCTCCTGTGGATCCATTTGCAAAAATTAGAGTGGATGATTGTGGAAAAACTAAGGGATGCTTCAGGTTAGTCTAAAGTAAATGTGGAGAACTTTATGTTCAACATTGCTCGCCTACCCTAGACATATTAGTAAATGTGCCCTATTTAACACTTCTGTTATCTGTGACCGCTTACAAAAATAGTCTCACTGAGGTCAGTGGATGACTGCTGTGATTTAGCTACTCACCATTATGAATTAACACTGTACAGTCTGACTGTTTAGGGATAATTATTTCTAATACTGTAATTAACGGCACATACAGAAATAAAATATAAAACTTTTGGTTTGTTTTGTTTCTCTGCCAAGAACTGTGGAAAATTTAAATATAATCAATGACAAAAAAATCCTTCTTCTAGTTTTTTGTATGGAATTGTGGATGAGCAATACATTATTTGTAGTTTGAATAGCAAAAAGAGATGTACATTTTGTTTTCCTATTTAATTTAGGTATGGTAAACCTGGCTGTAATGCGGAGACTTGTGACTATTTTCTAAGTTATCGTAGGATAGGAGCTGATGTAGAGTTTGAGCTGAGCGCCGATACTGATGGCTGGGTGGCAGTGGGATTTTCCTCAGACAAGAAAATGGTAAGACTGACTCACAAAGCTTAATATTGATTCATGACACCAAATTATATAAGCATTTACATGTAAGAAATATGCACAATATGTATCTGATCTAAAAAGCAGAAGCATAGGCATACAGAGATAAAACAACTTGTTGAAAGCTGAGAAACAAATCAGTAGCAGATCAGAGAAAAGACAGGCCTGCTCATTCCACTGGACCGTTGTCACCTACTTTTCATATGAGACATTACAGTAATCTTTTTTTCTGTTGTTGAATGCTTGACTTGTAATAACTTCTTTCCATTTGATTTTAAAAAACCTTCAAGAATATGTCATTTCATATTGTACCACTTGTACTATTTGTGCCAGTTTTACTTGAGCAAAGACTGTGACAGAAATTAGAATAGTCCTAAGGTTTTATTCATAATTCAATTAATATTCCATGCTATAAATTTAGACTGCCTAATTAATTTATGAAGTGAGTGCCCTCTTTCAGTTCTTCCATATCCCAGAAGAGCTAGGTGAAGGTACTAAAATACTAATATTTTAAATGTATGTTCTCTACTAAGCTTCTTGTTTAGTTTGTTTTTTCACGTTTTTATTTTTTTTAATTGGTGTTGCACATACAGTGGAGTCGCATAATATGTGCATTTAACTTACGCAAATTCGACTATACGTGCTCGGAAAAAAAAAAGAAGAGAAAAATAACAATTTAAATAGTGCGGGCGATTCCATCTGCCATTCCACTCAATGAGCGTATGCCCCAGAGTGAGTGTGAGATGGGAGACATGAATCTGCTGTTCCCTCAGTCAGTCTCAGTTCCCACGTGCCTCTCATAGTGTGAGCATCTCGCCGTGCTGAGTGCGATTCTAATTTTGACTATACGCGATTTTCGCCTTACGCACTGACTTTAGAACCTAACCCCCATGTAAGATGCGACACCGCTGTATTTATTTTTATTTCTGCTATTTTGCTATTTTAGAAGCTTTATTTTTTTATTAAGGTTAAGGAGCAAGCAGTATTACAGTCTTTACAAGAACTACGTTATACATAAAGTTGTGTTTGGGAAACATATTTCAGCTCAGGACAGTTTACACTGTTATCTATAAATGGTTATTGACTGAAACACACAACTAAGACACAAAAAATGCACTGTTCTGTAATACATTTCATGTCAGGGGGCAAGTATTTATCTACGGTAAATATAAAAATAATAAGTGGACTCTGTAAGATGAAGAATATTAAAATGTTTACAGGTTCTGATTCAAAACCCATGGAAGTCAATTGAAGGTTTCCCATTGGATCAGACCCTAAATAAGGAGCAGTAAGAAATGTTGAGAAGATATGCTTTTCCATCCTAATCTTATAATCAGGACTATTTCATCAATAAATATACTTCTATTGTAGAGGGAGTCATCAAAAAAGGATAGGAAGGGACCTCCAGGAACAGTCCTACACCTAGTGTCACATTTTTCCCTTCCCATGAATTTTCAGGCTGTTTTAGTGACCTAAGTCTGTTAGAACTTGTTACTGTAAACGACTGTGATCTCTGTTGTGGTTAGAGTACACTTTCATCAGATTTCTGCTTCAATACTATCGAGTCCCTGCTTAGGGCTTGTACAGCCAGGTAAATTTAAGAAAGAAAAGAGTATTGGTTCCTGGATGGATTATTTTTTAATTCCATGTGCAGCCTTTAGTATTCTTTCTTGTCCAAATAGTGTTGACTGTCTTGTTTTGGGACTGTAGGTCTTCATAAGTTTTAGCATCCTTTTCTCTAGATGTAGGTCCATACTTTTTATAAATTTAGGACCTGATTTTGATATTGAATACGGTGACAGAGCCCAGGCCCCCTTTACCACTAAAAAGGTACATGCCACTCAAGTTCATGCTCAAAAAAGAAAGGAAAAGTCCCTGCTTCAAAGAGTTGTCAATCAACAGTACAGTTAATTACTTAGAGGGTATGTCTACATGTTTCCCTCTGGAGACATAGCGATGCCCTAGGTCACTGTACGGCACACTGTGGTGACGTAGCAATCGTGTGTCTACACACAATTGCCAGCTACATTGCCATAGCAGCGTGGTCCCCAACTATAGCGTGCTTCTATGGCGACATAGCTGGTGAATTTAAGTATGTGCTGCCCATACACTGCAGTACAGGTGGTTATTGCACCATGTTTTAGCACTTCCACATAGCAAGTACTAAACCACGGTACAGTAACAATGTCACTGTATGGTAATGTGTGGAAATGCCCACTATGTAGGATGAGAGCTCTTAAAGCAAAAATAATTAATCCAACATTGTTTCTTCACCTTTATAATTGTTGGTTTAAACTGATTCCCGTGGGTATCTGTGGCAAGGTGGGCATCCCTGTTAGCCACAACTAGCTCCCCATCTGCCTCTGGGCATGCCGCCCTCCTGTCTCGCCTGCCACACCTTGCTTTTATTTAATAAAGTTGTTAAATAAGGCGGGAGGCTGCCCATTATTGCACTCCGATATTTGGGAGAGTCTGTGGCTCCGTACCTCCCCTACACTGTGGCCCAAACTTCACAGATGGCATCTCAGGCAGTTAGTTGGACCCCTGCCTTCGCCCATTAGCTGTGGCCCCCAACCATGGGGACCTTTGGCTTCTGTAAACCCTGGATCCCTTTTCTCAGGCCCAGTCAGGACCCTGAGCTCCCTCGCTTATCATGGGGGTCCCTCGTGGTGGGCCCCTGGTCCTTTGGACCCTCAGGTCCTGGCCCCAGCATTGACCTGTCGAGTCCCTCAGCAGGGTCTTCACCTCCTGCTTGCATATTCTGGAGCAGGATTCCCCATTCCTGGCTCAGGTGCTCTGGAGAGTGTGCCTGGCCCTGCGGGGTCTCTCCCCAACTAGCTCAGGCGCTTCCCGAAGCTTACCTGGCCTGTACTCCTTCCATGGTGTAATTTCCCTCTCACACACTGTGAATGATGCTCCAGGGTCTCACAGGGACTCTCACTCCACCCCTGGAGCAGCAGGTCATTGCGTTTGGCAGCTGGTATTACTTCCTACCCACCAGAAGGTGAGGGCTGGGGTTAAGGCGCCCCTACTCGCCTTTCACCAGGGTGATCACTGGCTTGGCATTTCCTGGGGGCTCCCACGACACTGAAAGTCCCACCAGGCCACCCACTCCCAGCAGGGTGCAGTTTTAGGTCATGCCCAGGACCAGGAGCCTCCTTACCATCCCCTACAGCTCCTTCCTTACCTCCAGGATGATACCAGCAGCCCTACAGCCAGGCAATGTTGCTGCCTCCTCTGCCAGTAGGGAACTGATGCAGTTATAAAGGCAGCCAGGGATTTAAAATGGCTGCCACCATCAGGCACCTGCTGGCAGCTTGGCTCAGGCCCTTAAAGTGGCAGGCACCTACAGTGCCCTGCCACAGTATCATCCTCAAAGTGAGTTTTTAGGAAGGATTTGAATTGAAAGAAAGTGATTGTTCAAAGTGAACTGAGACTAAAGTAATTCCATGGGTAAGGGCACTCCTGTTGACAGGACAGAGATGGGTATGTGTGAAGGAAATGAATGTCTTGTGCCTAGATGCACTGGTGGTATGGTGGGACTGGGAAGACTTAAAAAAGAAGAGACCTGAAAAAGAAGCCAATATAAGCCAAAGCAGAATCTTGAACGACTCTACAAAAAAAGACAAGAAGTTTAAATTCAGTGTGGGATATGGCTGAGAGGGGTATACAGCAAAAATGACTGGGGAAGCATAATTCCAGCATCCACAACTGGCTGAAGTGAGTAGATTGATGTGAGTGTTAGGGATCTACAGGCAGACAAGGTTCTTTGGGTAAATATGATATCTTTTATTAGACCAACTAAATATTTAGTTGGTTATTTAGTTGGTTCAATACAAGATATCACGTTTACCCAAAGAACCTTGCCTGGCCTTGCCTGCCTAGGTCCTTGGACCAACAATGGCTACAACCAACACACCAGAAACAGGGATCTACAGAGCAGCTGTAGCTACAGAAAAATTGAAAACCAATATTTTAATAGAGCTGCTCAGGATGCTTATTTTGCTGTCCCATAAAAGATTTTATTTAGAAAAGGAAAATAATCCACAAATAGCTTGTCCTGAATCTGTACAAAAAGATAATATTTTGAGTCTTTTAGGGAACTATTTTAATAAGTTTTACATCGACTGAAGCATTTTTGTTTCAAAACATTTTGAAATGTTTTGTTTTGATATTGACCCTTTTAATATTTTACATAAAGTAGTTATGAAAAAGAATTGTTTTCAAACAAAAGAAATTGAAACATTGGATTCTGAAAATGTCAAAACAGGTCATCTTAACATATTCCGTATTTTTAATAGAATATTGTCAATCTGTACAATTTCATGAAAAAGTTTGGTGGTTTCAAAATAGCATTTTCCTAAGTATTTTCATGCCAGCTCTAGCTTTAACATATCTCTTATAGGTGGAATGTTCTAGTTTTTAAAAATATCTTTGTTCTTAAAGATAAAGAGACTTTCTTTAAACGTGTTAAGTTGGAAGTGGAAATTTTGGAAAATTGTCAATGATTTAACATGGGGTTTTAGAAAGGAAGCTGTTTTAATGTAACTCTAGCCATTGTGGCCTGTCCTACAATATTACTGAGTTCTGAAGCTCTACAAATGCAGTTCTTCCCCAGTTGTCACCTAGGTTTCCTATTTTCCACACATTTTGTTAGAATCTGCATATAAAGATAGTCACGGGGTACAAAATCTTTTTTTTTGCCAGGCCATTTTTGTCCATATCCACTTTGTTTCCAAAAAGTAGTTTGTGCTTCCAAGATTAGGGGAGAAAATCTCAGTTAAGAATCTTTTGTAACATGCATACAATAGAAAAAAGGCTTTCTGAACAACACAGCAGCATGCTTTCCACCTTGTGTGTGATATACCAATGACATTATGTGGAAGCAGTTCTAACATGTGGCCTGCAGGCCATGGTAGCTACCTCTTCCAGTACCACATGGTGGGGGAGTGCTGCCACAGTACCGCTATTACTTCGATAACATT